TGCCACAGAACTAATGGACCAGCCCTCCGTTTTGGGAAGGTTCCCAGGCCTAACGGTGGTTTGACTATCCCTAGCTAATGATGGTCTGAAGGCTGTTGCTGCCATTAAAAGGTTGTCTGTGCCTCTGATGCCTTGTGGGCTTCTCTCTATCCATCCTTCTTCCACCTATCCCTCTCTCTAGTAACCCCCTCCACTCTCTCTCAATCTGTGCTTTACCCCCCGCAGTGTCAGTAGATGAGATGCTACGCCGCTTCTTCATCTAACGGCTCCAGAAACCCCTTGATGCTCTTCTCTCCTGATTACAGTTTCTCCCACTCTTTTGTCTGCTCTCTGCCACAGCTTCTCTGTGATCAGACATGCTTACTATTCCCAACCTGCCCCCCCACTCCATTCACCTATAATCACTTTTTCCCTTCGCCTCCAAGCTCCTAGGGAATATAGTTGCTTCACTCCCTGCAACATGGTTTCTGCTCTCTCCTTCTCCCTGAAGCTTCAGACCAAAGATTCCCTTATTTTTAATGCACTGCTGTCCTGTACTCTCAATTGAAATTATTGCCAAATCCAAAGGTCTGCCCTGGTCCATCTGAACCTCCCTGCAATGACTGCTACAATTGACCATCCAGGCTGCAGGTTTTTGTGGCTTCATTTTTAGCTGATATCAGTCAGGTCGTGTCAACATTTTCCACTAGGAAGCTTCTCTGCTGTGTTTGTCCCTGCTGTTTGTTCGTTTGTTCCCTGCACAGGTGATCTCTTGAATTGCATGGTTTTCAGTACCTCATATGCCAGTGACCCAGCTATTGTTTTTCCCCACATCCCTTCCTGCATTTCCACCTGCCTGGTATATCTACTTGCTGTCTCATTGCTGTCTCAGACTCCACACGTCCAAAACTCAACTGCTCATCCTTCATCCCAAGCCTCCTCCTTATAATCATTCTCTGTATGCGTCAATATCCTCACCAGACCAGAAACTCAGCTGTGGCTTTGATTCTTGGCTCTTCCTTGTTCCTTGTAATCACGTCTCCCTGTACCAGATTGCAAAAATCTTCCCTTTGTTCTCCATCTTCTTGAATAAAACTTGATTACAGCGGTCTTCTTCTCTCATCTTTCCTTTTCACATCTCTGTCTCCTACATTGCCATAAGCATTTGAATCTCCTGTCACTCACTCAATACGACATTTACCCTCATGCCCTTTCACTGGCTTCCCAATCCCCTTTTTGTATTTAGCACAAATTCTGTGTCCTTTAAATTTGTTCGCCCTACCCTATATTTTGGCACTTGGTATTTTTATTCCCCTAATGACCTCTGCTGCTCCAACACTTTCAACTTTACCTTATCAAAGTTCTCTTGCTTAGTGTCATGTCTTCGCCTGTTCTTCCATGCTTCCCCGTGCGCGTGGAATTCTTTCCTTGAACAAGTACACAGTACCACCTCTCTATATGTCCCTCCTCAAAATGCATATTTTCTGTATGACTTTTGGTTTATCCTCTTAATCATAATTCCTAGTTGTAGCAGAGGTTTAAGTGCATGTAGATATATCCATCAACATTAGCTCCTCTGCCTTCAATGTCTTAGTTTTCCCATTCTCTCATTGTCTCATTGTCTCTAAGGAGTATCAATACTCTATAAATAATGGTACATAATAATAAAATTTGGCGTCAGAGTTCTGACATTTGCTTGCTTCTCTGTTCCATTAACATCCAGCTTAGCATCAATTTGTATTCTCTGTACTTAGCTTTTATTTCATTACACAGAATTGTTGACTTTCAGCCATATTTTAGTCGCATGGGTATCTACAGTTGAATTCAACTGTAGATAACCATGCCAGTAAAATAAGGCTGAAAGTAATCAATTCAGTTGTTGAGGGTATCAGTTGAATATTTATTCAGGATATGAAAGTTTTGCAAGATGTGGTAAGGATTCCTAATCCTTCCTTGAAGACCTTTGTGTTTTTTGCTATTCCAGAACATATTCAGCACTGTGGAACGTTAACAGAACAAAATTCAAATCCAGTGGCACCTTTAAGACCAACAAAGTTTTATTCAAGGTATAAGCATTCGTGTTCACATACACTTCTTCAGATACACTGAAATGGAAGTTACCAATCCATATATATATATATAGGTAGAGGAAGAGCAGTAAATTAGCATAAACATAATAAAGGTTATTTAATAGATCCTTACATCTGTATTCTCATCAAGAAGGGCTATACACAGTCTTTATTTTATTTCTTATTTGAAATAGTAGATTGGTATAGTGATTGTAATGAATAGTAAAATGTAATGTAATTTGGAATGGTAGATTGGAATGTATTTCTCTGGTCTGGTGGCAGAGGAGACATCACATTGCATAACCAATAACCCCACCTTAAAGAAAAGGATGCTGTTAGTTACCTCCATACTTGAGAGGAGATGGATAGAGTGTAACAATAGGGTCTCAGTTAATTACTCTCAGCATCCCACAATCAAGAAGGGTACATTTGCACATCAGTCTCTGAGGAAGTGTGCATGTACACAAAAGCTTATACCTTGAATAAAACTTTGTTGGTTTTAAAGAGCTCCTGGGCATGAAATCTGTTCTGTTGCTTCAGACCAACCCAGCCACCCATCTGAATCTGTCTTTCTGGAATGTTAAGTTATGCACAATGTAGTTATTTTCCATCTTTCTTTAAAACAGGAGTTTCAAAGCAAAAATGACACAAGTTTCATTTTTGTTCCTATGGGAATGATTATTGTGTAGGAAATCCCTAACATATGTGATGTGTATGAGTCAGGACTGGGACATTTGCAGTGCAGCCCTGAGCCAACTGGTACCAGTGGGCTTAGAAGGGTGTAACTCTGTGTAGGATTGCACTGTTGGTGTAGCATGGGTAGAACTGTGACCCACCAGGGAAATTTTGCCAGAACCATATGCATTTATCCAGCATGAGCTGTCATGATAATACTTGGTTGTATGACTCACAGGTTACTCTAATGATCCTGATTTTGGAGTCAATTATGTAACCTAAAAAGTGGGAAGTGAAAAACACTTCACAGATGTCCTTTTTTTGGCATCCACCAGTAAAAAGTTGTTGGGGGGAGGGAGGGAGGGAAATTGAGACAGAAATGTTTGAGGAAAGGAGGAAGACAGAATAATGGAAGGACAAAACTCATATCATCTAGCTATCAAAGGTTCTATTGATTTCACTTTGATGCGTGTGCAGATGCACACGTTGCTTCACCCATTTATTTTGGGGGATCTTGCTGCCCACCTTGCATTATCACAGGTTTGTAGAAACATCTCCCTTTCTGTATCTGGCACCATCATGCAGATGTTTTTATCTGCACTCTGGGGTCAAGTTCAGAATTAGAGATACGGTGAAGTGTGCTACTAGGTCAGCTTTCTGTCTGCATAACTTTATGTCAGAAGGTCAAATCAATTGTGCAACTGGGATACTTCTGAATGTATCCCAGCATTTCTCAGAGGAAAATAACCTTGTTGGGTTTGAGATCTAGTATGGGTTTGGGGTCTAGTATGGAGGTTTTAATTTCCGTGCAGTGTTCCATTGATTTTAAACCTGACCACCTTCTCTCTAGCTTTTATTAGCCCTACAAGAAAAAAAGAGAGGCATCCTCTCTCTTCCTGCTGTTTTCATTCCAGACTAGTAAAAATCTAGAGTTCTTTTTGATTGGTGAAATTATGTGGGAGGAATAAGGGTCAAACCACCCTCTTTTTCTGGCATCAGGGCCCTGATCTGAATCACTCCCCACATGATGACTGCAATTCATGGATATTCCAGTGTCTTATCTAGTTTGACCCCTGAGCCCAACAGCTATTGTACACTTCTTCAGAAATTATCCTTTTTAATCTGTTAAGGTGTTCTTCAATCTATTTGAGTTCAAACCTCTCAACTTATTTTGCAAAATGAAGACAGTACAGCGTTCTCTCTGTATAGTATTTGCTGAACAAAGCAACACTCTGCCAGTTTTCATGTCTGTTCTATATTCTGCTGACGATGTGTTTCTGAACTCTTTGTTTCAACAAAATATGTGAATAGCTCGTTTAGCTGCCTGCTTATTTCCCTCACTACTTGATTGCATGCCCAGGTACCTGAATGGAGAGAACTTTCCTCTCCCCCCCCCCCCCAGAATGTAAGAGGCTGTGTTGTGTAAACAGTTGCATTCAAAGGCATTCAAAGGCAGATTGTCCTGAGTTGTTGGTTCTTTCTCTTAGCTTAGTCTACAGATAAACCTTTCTTAATTTGTTGCAACTCAGAGCAGTATGTCTAGAAAAAAGATTGTCTGCCTCTTTATTATGACAAGCTATTTAATACAATATAATACTGTACAGAGGCCCCAAACATCTTAAGAAGGTTTGTTACCACAATTTTGATTTTGATGGTGCTCACCTGATAGCCCATCTCCTTGTTCCTACAAGACATTCACCTAGAACTTTGTGTGGTGTTGGTTTCCGACAAACCTGTAGCAAAAAATAGCGAATAGAAAGAAGAGTAATTATAGACCAGCAGTCTTTAAAAAATTTTCAGTTCCATGGCCATCTTTAACCTGTCAAAGACCCATTTCTAGTGTTTTTGCTAATTTTGTTTTCTTTGAGGTTATCAGGATGAAAGATCGTGCAGAGACTTTGTCCTTTAATAGTTGAATAGAAAGGGGAATTTTTGCACATGCAGCTTTTCTTGCAGGGGTGAGAGAAATTGTACTGGCTGAAACTGCCCCATTGTCCCTACTCAGCAGAGCTGTCAAATTGTCAGGCACTTCACTTGTTCAAAATAATAACTACTACAGAAGAGAGGACGACTGATGTGTTGTCTCATTCACTTTATGAAGCCAACTCATGGGTGATCGGGCAAGTAGTAAAAAAGAGTAAAAATGTTGACTTTTCTGCCAGCTCTGTTTTGAATATGCCATCTTTGTCATATGTGGAACTTTAAAAAAAAACAAAAACCTTGCTTTAATGTGCTATTCCATGGCAATACCCTCTTTTTTTTTTAATTCACCCACAGAATGAAGAGGCGCAAGTGGTTCTACAAATGCTCAACAAGACAAAGTCTCCTGATCTTGATTTTAACAGTGTGGCTGCTTTCACTACTGAAACTTCTCAAAGTCGAGCGACTGTTGTTCCCTCACAAGGGTATTTATTTTGTAGAGCCGTTTCTGAGCTCCTCATTGTTTGTGAAGAACAAGTACCCCCACCTCAGAAGTCATGTGCAGTATGAAATCAACTGTTCCTCTATTTACAATGAAGAGCCTGTAGAGATCGGCAAGTCTTTAGAAATTCAGAGAAAAGAAATTATCGATTTAGATGATGATGATGTTGTAGCAATGACTAGTGACTGTCATGTATACCATAAAATTAGAGAATATCACCTAAAGCCTATTTCTCTGGAAGAGGAAAAATTCCCTTTAGCCTATTCTTTGGTGGTTCACAAAGATGCCATGATGGTTGAGAGGCTCATCCATGCAATATACAGCAGTCAGAATGTTTACTGTATCCATTATGACCAAAAGTCATCTAGCACTTTCAAACATGCTTTGAACAATATAGCCAAATGCTTTCCCAATATTTTCATAGCATCCAAATTGGAAGTGGTAGAATATGCCCATATTTCAAGGCTTCAGGCAGATCTGAATTGTTTGTCTGATTTGTTTAAGTCTTCTGTTCCATGGAAGTATGTGATCAATTTGTGTGGCCAAGACTTTCCTTTGCGGCCCAACTTTGAGCTGATATCTGCACTTAAGAAATTAAATGGAGGAAATATGTTGGAGACGATCAAGCCAAGTAGCAGCAAAAGGGAACGCTTTATTTATCACTATGAACTTCAGAAAATGCCTTACGAATACACAAAGGTGCCTGTGAAAACTAGTATCTCTAAGGACCCACCACCCCACAATATTGAGGTTTTTGTAGGCAGTGCTTATTTCATTTTATGCCGAGAGTTTATACAGTTTGTCCTTGAAAGTTCCATCGTTCAAGATTTTTTTGAATGGTCAAAGGACACTTACTCTCCTGATGAACATTTCTGGGCAACTCTTGTTCGTGTACCTGGCACACCTGGAGAGGTTTCAAGAGCAGCTCCGGATATCACAGATCTTCAGAGCAAAACACGTTTGGTAAAATGGAACTACCTTGAGAATCACCTGTATCCTCCTTGCACTGGTACACATCTTCGTAGTGTATGCATTTATGGAGCCGCAGAACTGAGATGGCTCATCAGCTATGGGCACTGGTTTGCCAATAAATTTGACTCCAAAGTGGATCCTGTTTTAATAAAATGTTTGGTAGAGAAACTTGCAGAAAGGCAAAAGGAATGGGTTGGTTTGTCTTCAGAAAAACGTTTTCTACACCGGACATTTACAGATGTTTCAGCATTACAGTCCACCCATGAGTGGTCTTTGCAGAAAAAAAGTTGAGTTACATTGCTCATCATACGTCTCTTATCTACCTTGGTGGAATCCAGTTGCCCTTCTATATGTGTAACTAAAGGGAAGGTGTATTAGATGAGCTGCTTCGAGCCCATGGAGCAGATGTTGGAGCAGGGTAAACTAGAGGCAGTAGGTGAGGTTCCCTGCTCCTCAGCAATAAAAAGCGAGTAACAGAGAGAACGTGCTTGGCTTAACCCAGTGCTTCCCAATCTTCTTGAGGTTCCTTTGAACTTGCTCTAGCTTCTAACCCTCTCCAAATGAACATTTATAAGTTGCCTGCAGCCTTTGTTATATGCAAAGATTTGTGAAACAGGGTGCTCATCCAACACTGGTATTAGAAAAAATGATTGGTATATCTTTCTCACCCCCACAAATGCACAGGGAACAATAATTAGAACATAGCATCCCCACCAAATTAGGTTGAGATTATATGGTAGAGAGGAAATCACCCTCACAAATCTAATGGTGAAAGTCCTCTGCTAAGGGCATCCCGAGGAATTTACATCCTTTTCCTAGATATCCCATGAGGGTGACCTGCCTTACAGTGTGAGAACTGATGAATTATTTTATTACTTATGCTGTTTGTGGTGATTTATTTTTCAAGTCTGCAGGATAGCTTTGGAACAGTTTCTAGTGCTTAGATTCCTTCTGTGTCCGCCTGGCTCTTCTGATATATAGGATGCTGCCACAAGGTAGAAAAAACCTACAGCAAATATTTCAGTGGCAGTCCTGTTGTGAGCTCAGTGGTGCATAATGATACAAGCCTTCTTTGTACTGCATGATTCCCACATAGGGCTTGTACAAATTTTTCATTATTTTGAAGATTACATTGTGCTTGTAATGGTTCAGTTGGATGAGATACCAATATCTTGCCTCCAGGATGTGCTACTATTTTAAGGAATCCACTGCTGCAGTTTGGCATTGCATCATTCTGTCTCCCTACTGATACCATACCACCATTGCTATGGGTGAGGTCGTTTACAATACTAAGGGACATTTGGACAGTACATTGGAAATTACTGATGACAAGGCGCACAACTTCCCCAAGCCTCCGATCCTTTTAGTTCTTTCTAGGTTGGCTGCTGCACTGCTATATCTCATGTAGAATTTTTAAAGGGGGGAAAGGCGGTAAACCCGATTGTGGCTTCCCTCATCCATGCAAGCAGTGCCCTGACCTATTATAGAAAGCTATTTCATTGATGGGTATGCATCCCCTTTTCATTTCAGTATTGTACATTTCCCCAAAAAGGTTTATTTCTCATCACTACCAAGCATAGCTTTCATAATACAGGTATAGGATCAGGGCTTGAGGAAATGTAACACTGTCGGTGATTGTCAACTCCATTGTTTATATATAGTCTATGTACATGCACTTAGGAGGTGAGGAAAGGTTACAGAAAGGAAGGCCTCTAAAAATATGTGTTAGCTTAGAAATGTTTGTACAAATTATGGACCCTCAGGATCAAAAATATACTGAAGGAATGTCCTATCTAAGTGAATCACACTGAGGTAGATGTTGGGAGTTAAGGTTCTTCCTTTAAGGTAAAACCTAGCTGTGCCTTGTTTGTACTATAGTTTTACCTCAGGAAAATAGTCTTGTAGGCTTAAATAAATGGAAATCATAGGTAGTTTTTATAATGTTGATGAGTGCTTAGTCTACTACCTCAAGAAAGATATGCAGGATCTGTACAAATCCAGGACTAATGAAAAGTCTAAAAGAGAAAATAATTACTTGAGGGCAAAACTGGTTAACATGATGCTATTCAGGAGCCAATTTCATTGTTCCAGTAGTCAACCATTACACAAGCTGGCAACTGGATGGTTGTAGGCAAGTGCTCTTCAGAAATCTTGAATGATTGGGTAGGGGCTGGGCAATAATTGCCTCTTAGTTATTGAATATATATGGCATGAAAGCTGTCCCATGTTCAGTTCAGCTGCTATTTTGTGAAAGTTCCATATATTGAAACACTGGCATCTTTTTCTTGTAAATCAATGGAAAACAAGGTATTTTATAGCCAAATTTGGGGCCCTTTGTGGGGGGAAATGTATAATGTGAAAATGCTTCAAATGTTTTATAACACATGATAAACCCAATGTATTTCAAATGACCTTTCTGTCAACAGTTTTTAAATAGAGTGCTAGTTCATTCTGCTCCCTCTCTAGAAGAATATAGCAGTTACTACAGTGTAACCGAGGATAATATTGCCATTGAGAATACTGAAAGGAACAGAAATACAGAGACAGGACACAGTGGTGCTCTTAAACATTGAAAGCTCTGGGGCTACAGACTATGTACAAAGTAATTTGCTGAATAATGTGAGTTTCTGCTGCTCCTGTTCAGGAGTCTGTTCTGCTCATGTGGCTTAGGTATGCTTCACGACAGAACTACTGAATTATGTGAAGGACACTCATGCTAGCACTTGATCTACATATCTTGGCCAGTCCACACAGTCAACTCACCATCTGGAGCAGCTGCTGCATGGGTTCAGTTTCAAGCAGCCTGCTTTCTTGTGAACTAGGTTTTAATGTTAAGCTCTAAACTTCCTTTTAAAGTGGAAAACTGCAGTGTGGCAGGGGTGCACACATACATTGCTGCTTGTGTAGGAAAGGCAGTGCTGATCAGGGCCAGGCCACTTTCACCTTCCTCTGCAGGGCAGAGAGGCTGGGCAAGTAATGTGCTTGCAACCCCCCCCCCCCCCACCAACCCCCCCACCGGGGTTGCGCGGGTTTTGCAACCCCCCCCCCACACACACACACACACACTGGTGTTGCTGATGTTCTGACATAGAAGGCGTTTGGGATGTGAGCTGGCGTTTAAGCAAGTGATGTCCCAGCTGAATTCTGAAGGAGTACAATCTCAGAAAGCCTGTGCGATATGATTTTTCTGAACATGCAGCTCAACCTTTTGAAAACCGAGACACTGTGTAAAGTAGTTCTGTATATTAACAGTTGCCCCTTTTTGTAATTGGACCTTCAATTGCAGAGCAAGCCTGAAGTGATGCTAGTCACAAAAAAAATCTCCAAATTCCTATGTTATTTAATATTTCAATTAGAATCTTATTTATGAACTCTCCCAGGAGGTTCAAATGTCCTTTCAATGGCATGCAGTTAAGAAATCCCTCATGCCAGAAGAGAAGGAAGGAAAGAAAGAAAGAAGTATTTGCAATGTGAGTATTTTGGCTAAGGCAAATTTTATATTTGCATTGGAAACTTGTTTTTGCCAACCAGTGGAATATTATTCCAAGTGGTGAGAAGAAATAATATGCCCTAGTTTCCAACATGTTAATTCACAAATATGTAAACACAAGACACAAATTATCAGCAGATTTCTGGTTCATGATTTGTAGGCAGTGTAATTCAAAAAGGAGAAAGATGTCCTATTATATATTCAGAGTAATTGGTTTAAAAACTTATGGACTCATAATACATTATTTTATATAGTAAAACTTGGAATTCCCTGTTTGCATTATATTATATCTCTCCTGTGAGCAGTGGGTTTTTAATTGAATGCTTACAATAAGAAACAGGAGGGAATTATAATGGTGCTAAACTAAGTATCACTGACTTCTTGTCTGCAAAAGTCTAAAAGCATAAAAACTGAGATTTTTTTCAAACATTTCATTTTTATTGTAAACTGCTCAAGTGCGGGTCCTCAAATGCCATTGTGAATATTCCAGAGCTGAAAAAATGACTTTTAAAATGCACTTAATACTGTTTCTCGTGGGGGCTTTTATAAATAAAATACATTTATATACCAACCTTTTGGGGATGAAGCTCTTATTGAAGAGAAAATTTGATGAGAAAAGTTCTCACTTGCTGAACTTCTTCCTTTTGTGTGGCTGTTGAAGATAATGAGAGCTTTGCTTGTAGGGGAAAGAATGGCAGCTTTCTTCCAGCTGATGACAGGGATGGATAGTTCCTTGCCTATGGATGCCAGATGTGATGGAACTGGAGATAGAATAAGCATATAAGTTCACAGCACCCTCTCATTCACAGATGGAGAAGGGGAGAGCAAGAGAGATTAGGATGTTTTACAGTTTTGGCCCATGCAAAGTATATAGCGGAAGAAGTAAGGAAGACGATTTGCACCAAGCTGTCTTTGCGTTTCTAAAGTAGTCCACCTCACATTTTTGAAAGCCATTATGCTAAAGCATCCTAAGTAAACTGGAGATTCCTTCATAATATTTTTCCCAGCTGGAGGTTTCTACACTTTTGTTTGCCAAGAGCTTCCACAAGAATCCAGTACCAAAAAACCCACACAGACCAGGACTGTGGCAGAAATCTGATTCAATGCTTGAAATGTTTTGGAGAAATTAGTCAGCATACTCCCCAGGTGGCTCCTGTGGAGCTGTTCAGGATAGGGAAAAATATATTCTTTGTTGACAGAAATTGGAACCATTAAGCAAAAGCGACAACAGAGACAGCTTTGAAATAGCATGCTATGTTATGTCTCTGTAAGATGTTTATTTTCTCTGAGGTAGAGATGAATACCAGTTTTAGAGTTCCAATTGAGACAGTTTGCTGTTATGTAGACTTTGTTCAGGATTCTGCATATATGCTATCAAAAATGGTTGTAAATGTCAAGATAAATCTCATGTGGATATGGTGTGAGCAAATTCATACCCATTTCTTATATATGACACATTTTCTAGTAGTACAGGTGAATCTTGCCATTCTGTAGGGCCTATTTCCTGCTCCTTCTTTCCAGAGTCAGATGCCACTCTTTCACCATGCCTTGGTTCACCCAAAGTTGCTTACGTTCTGGGAAACACACATAAAGCTACCATCACCTGGGAAATTGCCGCTGATATGTACGAATGTGGAGCTCCAAGGGCTCGTTGTATGTTTTTAGTATGTAGTATTAAGAAGTATTTTTGCTCAGTTTGGTTTTTTGTACTAGTAAGTGTCTCTGAAAGCTGTATGCTCGAAGGAGACAGGATTCTATTATCTTGCTCAGGCAGAGACCTATCCAAGCTTAGCTGGCTGGTAGCCAGCAGATACCATCACTACCATGGGGGGGGGAAGATGTATAACTTTTCTCTTTGGATATGGATATGGACCTAGAAGCAAGAAAAACCTGTGTGAATCTTTCCGGTACTTACTTTTGTCACCTAGTCGTAGTATCTAACACCTTCCTCAAAAGTACTTAACTCAACTTGGCAGTCCTTCACATGCAGTCAACTGGGAGACCTTGGGTCAGTCACAGTTCTCTCGGAGTTCTCTCAGCCCCACCTACTTCACAGGGTGTCTGTTGTGGGGAGAGGAAGGGAAGGAGATTGTAAGCTGCTCTGAGACTCCGAGTGAAGGGCGGGGTATAAATCCAACTCTCCTCCTTCTTCCCCAGAATTTTTAGGGTCTCCAGAACAGTATTGCACCTTTACATTATGACTTTGATTTAAGTCCCTTGGTGACATTGGTTGATGCTTTGGAATAACTTCAAGAACTTTGGGAGCTAATGGCTTCTGCCTAAATGAA